GGTTTAGAACTAGCATATTACCTTTGCCTCTAAAGTCCTCCTGCACTCCATTCTGACAATACCCAGGGGTGATCAACCCTTTTAATTTTGTGTTTATTTATTCCTTAGACTGTTCTTGTTATTGTTCCAGTACTGGGCCTTGAATTCCAGGCTTTATGCTCTCAGCTCAGCTTTCTTCCTCATGTCTAGCATGGCTGTACTGTTTGAGCTTCCACTTCTGGCTTTTTGCTGGTTAACTGAAGATAAGAATCTCAAGGATTTTTCTTCTCAGGCTCACTTTGAACCTAAATCTTCAGATCTCAGCCTCCTGAGTAGCCTGTTTAGGCATGAACCACTGGCACCTATCTTTAGACTTTTTTATTTATAGTTTTATCGTGTTTGTATCTATACACAATATTTTTGGTTTTTCAACTTGCATTTCAAATAAATGAAAACATTCCTTTTTTTGTTTTTCGGTGGTGGGGCTTGAACTCTGGGCTTTGGCACTGTCCCTCAGCGCTTCAGCTCAAGGCTCTACCGCTTGAGCCACAATACCACTTCCAGTTTTCTTGTGGTTTATTTATTTATTTTTTTTGTCGATCGTGGGGCTTGAACTTTGGGCCTGGGCACTGTCCCTCAGCTCTTCAGCTCAAGGCAAGTGCTCTACTACTTGAGCTACAGCGCCACTTCCGGTTTTCTGGTGGTTTATTGGAGATAGGAGTCTCACAGTCTCTCCTGCCTGGGCTGGCTTTGAACCACGATCCTCAGATCTCAGCCTCCTGAGTAGCTAGGCTTACAGGCGTGAGCCACCAGCGCCCGGCTTCTTGTGGTTTATTGGAGATAAGAGTTTCACGGATTTTCCTGCCTGGGCTGGCTTTGAACCACAATCCTCAGATCTCAGGCTCCTCAGTAGCTAGGATTATAGGCGTGAGCCACTGGCACCTGGCTTTCCTTTTTTGTTTTTTACTTGATCAAAGTTTTTATTTAGCTGGTTTCAAACCTATAAATGTGTCTAATTTTTTAAAATAACATTTAGGGTTGGGTGTAGTGATACATGTCTATAAACCCAGCACTCAGGAGGCTGAGGCAGGAGGATCTTGAGTTTGAGTCCATCTGAGGCCATATAGCAAAGATCTAAAAGCATACATAAATACAATATACATTTTTTTGTCTTTGGTGTTGTTGGTTATGGGGCTTGAACTCTGGGCCTGGGTGCTGTCCCTCAGCTCTTCAGCTCAAGGTGAGCACTCAACCTCTTGAGCCACAGTGCCACTTCCAGTTTTCTAGTGGTCAACTGGAGATGAGAGTCTCACAGGCTTTCCTGACTGGACTGTCTGGGCTGGCTTTGAACCACGATCCTCAGATCTCAGCCTCCCTGAGTAGCTTGGATTACAGGTGTGAGCCACCAGTGCCCGGCTCGATGTACATATTTTTTTTTCGATGTACATATTTTTAAATAATTCATACCACATAATTCACTTAAATGAATTCATTTCCATGATTTTAGCATATTCCCAAAGCTGTACATTATTATTTAATTCTGCTACATTTCCATCACCCCAGAAAATTGCTATGCTCATTAGCAGTCCACTTGCCATTCCTCTCCAATTCTCTCTGTGTAGCCCTTGGCAATTATTCATTTGCCTTATTTTTTTCATGTTTAACTTTTATTTTGATTAAAATATTCATTGGCATGATAGGTACACTGGGGGGATCATTGTGACACTTTCACACGTGTATATAAGGTATTACAATCAATTTCAGCCCCCTTTTCTTCCCAGAGCATGTGTCTTGCTCCTTTGACTTGCCATGTTTCCAAGGGCAATCCATGTTACATGATAACATCTATGTATGAGTACTTTGTTCCCTCTTTATTGTCTAGTAATATTCCATTCTTTGTATATTTAACTTGTAATTATTCATTGATGGTTGCCACTTCTTGGCTACTATGAATAATGTTACTATGGATGTCTACATATGAGGTTTTTTTGTAGTCTTATGTTCTCATTTCTCTCAGACTCATAACTAGGACTGGAATTTTTAGGTCATATGCCAAGGGTAAGTTTAACTTGTGAGGAGAAGGTCAGACTTCTCATCACTATTTTATAAGGGTTATGATTTCACCTTTGAGCTGTAAGAGTTCTTTATTATGGTATCTTGAAGTTGTCTACACAGAAATTCTCTGAACTGCTTTGTCTCAGGGAAGATTGTAGTACCCCTGTTTGAGGAGGTATTTTGGAGAAAACAAGACTGTATAGAGATGACTGAAAAAAATCTGAATAGACAGGCCTTCTGGGTTTTCAACCTCAGTTTACTAACGTTAAATTATAGTTGTCCATAGTTCACCATATATACAATGAAAAAAACAACAGCATGTGGAAGTGTGGCTCAAGTAATAGAGCTTTAACAAGAGTTCAAGCCCAGTATGGGTACCAGAAACAAAACAAAACAGCAGCAACAAGAAAAAGACCAAAGGGATAGGGTTTGGAGAGCTTCCACATGACTGAACATGTAGAGGCTCCTGAAGGGTAGCCCTCTTGGAGAACTATGGAAGACTAGCAGCCCTACCATCTCTCTTCATCTGTGTCTTTCATAATGAACCTGTGTTTTCTTGACTTGTATGGGCTACTCTAGAAAATTAACTGAACTCAAGAAGGGGGTTGTAGGAAACTCAGTTTATACTACATTATGCCAGGTAAAACCACTGGGGCTTGCAATTGAACCTAACTGGTGGGCAGAGGTAGGCCATCTTGGGATATGGGTCACTAGCCTGTGGGATCAGACACTGACTGTCCGAACTGAGGTGAATTATTGCTGCAGAACTAATTGTTTGCTTAGTATGTGGGAACCCCCTGCACATCCGGTGTTGGAGTAATTTTGTGTGAGAACATAGTAGAAGCTGAGTTTGGCTGAGTTTTCCTCTGTACTCTCTCTGTATAGAAGGAACATTCTAGGCTGGGGAGATAGTTTGTTGGTAGAACACTTGCACTAGGTTCTATCCCAAGCATTACTAAACAAAACAAAACCAAATAAGAGAAAGGCATATCTTGCCAGGTATAGTGATGCACACCTGTAATACAACACTGGGGAGGGAGACTAAGGTAGGAGGATCATGATTTTGAGGTCAGCCTGGGCTATGCAGCAAGACCCTGTCCTAAAAAAAAGTGGAGGGTGTTGAAGAGGGGAGGCAGGAAGGATATAGTTATGGAATATAACTAGGTGCCAGAGGCTCGTGCCTTTAACACTAGCTAGTCAGGAGACTGAGATCTGTAGTTTTATGGCTTGAATCCAGTTGAGGAAGAAAAGTCCACAAGACTTTATAACCAGGAAAATGCAGGGCTGGAGGTATGGCTCAAATGGGAGAGTGTCAGCTAGGTAAGTGAGAAGCCCAGAGTTCAAACCCCAGTACCACCAATTAAACATAAAAATAAATGAATGAATAAATAAATAAAAATAAGGGGGGGCGGAGACAGGAATACTGAGAAGAATCTGACTATGCCTTACTATATTCCCTCTAGTTGATCACCTTTATTTACATCATACCTCCTTTGTCCAAAGAGATTTCTCCACAATTATACACTTCCTCAACATGAGCATAAAATAGCTAGGTTTCTCTATTCCTTTGGGACTTCACTTCTGAAGACTTCTATGTCATGCAAAACTTACATTAAATCAATTTCTATGATTTTTCTCCTGCTAACCTGTTTTTGTTATAAGGGCTTCATCTATGAATGCAGAGATGAGTGAGATATAAGAGGAAATCCTAGCTTTAATACTAGTCACCTACCCTGGCAGATTACTTGAGCCTTAAGATGCTATGAAGGGCACCGGTGGCTCATGCCTGTAATCCTAGCTACTCAGGAGAATGAGATGTGAGAATCACGGTTCAAAGCCAGCCAGGGCAAGAAAGCCCATGAGACTCTTATCTCCAACAAACCACTCAAAAACCCAGAAGTAGCGCTGTGGCTCAAGTGGTAGAGCACTAGCCTTGAGCTGAAGAACTGAGGGACAGCGCCCAGGCCCAGAATTCAAGTCCCATGACCTACAAAAAAAAAAAGATGCTATGAAGGCCTTGGCTTGCACTCATTCCTTTACTTGCATGGAAGGGTTGTGTGGCACAGCAGGTGCATGCTGGAAGCACTGTTTTCTTCCCTTGATGCTTGGTTCTTTCGTAGAAGGAAATGGTTTGGCAGTCACACATGCTATGGTGGCACAGGGCTTGTATCAGGTAAAAGATGATCTTTCTCCCAATACTTGATTATTTTATGAAAACAAGATTGCCATCAAATTGGGCTGGGAAGTTGGCTCAGTGGTAGAGTGCTTACCTCACATTCATGAGGCCCTGGGTTTGATTCCTCAACACCACATAAGCAGAAAGAAGGTGGAAATGGCACTGTGGCTCAAGTGGTAGAGCATTAGCCTTGAGCTGAAGAGCTGAGGGACAGTGCCCACGCCAAGAGTTCAGCCCCCAACAACCAACAACAACAACAAAAAGATTGCCATCAAATGACATTTACAGAATAAAAAGCTTCTCTTTTATTGATACATGCATGTACCTTTAAACATAACATCTGAAAAGATACAGATCAAAGTTACCCACCAAAAGGCCACTCCTAGGAGGGAGGATAATCGTAGTAAAACTTCCAAACATTAGAGGACACAACAGCTTTGTGTGTATTGGTCCAATTTTTAAATAAACATTCATTCAGGACATCATTTTTTGGATAGGCACTTTTTGTTTGTGATTGTATGAGACAAGGTCTCAAACAAACCATACAGGTCAAGTTGGCTTTGAACATATGATCCTTCTGTCTCAGCCTCACAAGTGGTAGGATTATGTGTACTACTACACTTGGTTAGGCACTTATTTAGAGAGGAAAAAAAAAACCTTAAAAGACTTGAAATAGCTTGGCACGGGTGGCTGTCCTCCTGGCTCCTCAAGAGGCTGAGATCTGGATCTGTGGCCCAAGTGGTAGAGTGCTAACTTTGAGCAAAAAATCCCAAAAGCTCAGGAACAGCACCCAGGCTGAGTTCAAGCCTCAGAACCAGCACAAAAATACCAAAACAAAACAATAATAAAATTTCAACTGGAGTAATTTTAACTGATGTTCTTAGAATATATTTTTATCTTTTTCCCTGTGTTCATTAGAGTGCCTCCTAACTTCAGCCCAAGTGTTTGTGGAAGAAAGTCTGGAGTTGCTTCCACGCATCCACTTGGGCCACTGCATGAGCCTTGGCTTCTCCTCCAAACAAGATATTAGCCCCAACCAAGAGGTGCATGGCTGCCCTGCACAAAGGGAAGTAAGGGGGCTCAATATAGTGCCCTGCCTCAGGGTAAAGAATGATCTGGGGCTTTGCCTTCCCATGGGCCTCCAGGCGCTTAGAGGCCTCAATTGCATAGAACTCACTCTTCCAGTTGTGGTCATCCTGACCCACAAGGAACAGGAAGGCAGTGTCAGACCTTTCCACAGGAATGAAGCTCTTCTCTTCTACCAAAGGGCTTTGCAGGCCTTCTATCACATCCATGATGCCATCTTTTGTGAACTTGACTCGATTCCTGAGCAAACTCACAGGGGGCACAGACTCATCCTTGTAGTGTATGGTTCCCCCAACAGCAGCCACAGAGCCATTGATTATGACAGCAGCCGTGACACCCTTCAGGAAAGAGGTGACAGCAAGGCTGAGTTCGCCTCCTTTGGAATTCCCAAGGAGCCCAATTCCTGGACCCTTTACCTGAGAAAGAGACACAAAACAGAGAGAGAATGAGTCCTCAGACAGGGCAGTGGAGTGAGAGGTGCCCAGCTGGCTCAGGTGGACCTGGGCCTATCTCTGGGCTCTACCTGTTCTCTAGGTATACTGATTCTTCCCATTTTCCTTCCTCTCCACAATTTCTCCATCACCATTCTTGGTGACTTCAATTGCATCATGATCTATTAGATGGACTTCCTAGTCCTCCACACCTGTAATCTTTTATCTACCCCATTTGAACTCCCATTGCTACAACTTTAACTCGTTATGATCAATGAGTACATCACTGAAAATCCACAGCTTAAACATTCCATTTTCAGGACACTATCTTTAATACCTCCAGCTCAGCCCTTCTGGTTTATCCCTTCCATGTCCAAATCCCTGAGACTCAGCTGCCACTTCTTTACTTCATTGCTATTATCTCTCATGTTCTAATTTCCCGCCTCTTCTAGTTTAGATTTCATGCTTCATCAGTGTAATTGCAGCTTGCAAACACTCTCAACTCCCTTAACTCTTCAGCTTTGCTCATATTGGCCTGGAACAGGCCATGTCTACTGAAATCTCCCTGTTCACTACGTCAGGCCAGTGTTGGGATTGGGGAAAAATATACAAGGGTGCTGATCACCTTACTTTCATCCCAATGAGCATACAGAGTGTCACCCATCACTGGTATTTTGCTTTCTACATCTCCAGAGTCATTCACAACTTCTACCTCCTCCAGCCACGTCAGCCCTTACATTCCCCTCAGCCTTCCATTATTCCCTGGAAACTGAAGCAAACAGATGGGGGATTCTCAATTTCCCACTGCCTAATCTACCTACTTTCACATGAACTCAAGTTCTTGGGTTTCCCTCCTGACCTTCTCAAAGGCCACCATTGGCTTGTGCTTGGAAAACCATAACACCATTCTCTAGGACTGCCTCCTGGGATTCTTCCCGCCTCCTTTCCACCTGTATTGTATTTTCTTTACTGGCTCTTTCCCTTCAAGTACTTTCTGCTCTATTAGTGACCATTTGTGACCTCAGCCAAAATAGCTACTGCCCTGACATTTTTTTGTTGATGTTGTTGGCTGTCAGGCTTGAACTCAGGACCTGGGCTGTCTCTTAGCTTTTTCACTCAAGGATAGAGCTCTACCACTTTAAGCCACAGTGCCATTTAAAGTTTCCTTGTGGTTAACTGGAGATAAGAGTCTCAAGGCCTTGCCTCCCCTGGCTGGCTTCAAAGAGCAATCCTCAGATCTCAGCCTCCTGTGTAGCTAGGATTACAGGCGTGAGCCACCAGCACCTGGCCACTGCCTTGATTTTCTGTTCCTGTTCATTACAAAATCGGTGGGAAAATTTGTTTCTTTTTCCTCAATCCCCATTCAATGCTATCAACAGTAGTTTGGTGGATTTTGAATGTCCTACAAGAATAACTCCTGTCCTTGTAACCCAGTGTTCTATGTCATAAATAAATGACCTTTTGATTCATACATCACAGCACTGGTAATTAAGGACATTTTAATGCCCTAGGATTTCCAACAAGAAAAGAGGAATTAAAGACATGAAAATAGAAACCGACAGAACTGGGCTGGGAAGGTGGCACAGTGGTACAGTGCTTGCCTTGCATGCATGAGGCCCTGGGTTCGATTCCTCAGCACCACATAAGCAAAAAGAAAAAAGCCGGAAGTGGCACTGTAGCTCAAGTGGTAGAGTGCTGGCCTTGAGCTGAAGAGCTGAGGGACAGCTTCCAGGCCCAGAGTTCAGGCCCCATGACTGGACCCCCAAAAAAAAAAAGAAACTGACAGAATCATCCAGGAGCTGCTGACTCACACTTACACATCTAGCTATTCAGGAGGCTGAGATCTGAGAATCACGCTTTGAAGACAGACAATTCCTTAAAACTCTCATGTTTGGCCAGGTACTGGTGGCTCATACCTATAATCCTAGCTATCCAGGATGCTGAGATCTGAGCATTGTGGTTCAAAGCCAGCTGGGGGCAAGAAAGTCCATGAGACTTTTATCTCCAATTAAACACCAGAAAATAGGAAGTGGTGCTGTGGCTGAAAATGGTAGAGCACCAGCCTTGAGCAAAAGAGCTCAGGATCAGAACCCAGGCCCTGAGTTCAAGCCCCACAAATGACAAAAACAAAAAACAAAAACAAAACTCTCATGTTCAATTAAGCCAAAAGCCAAAAGTGGAGGTATGGGTCAAGTTGTAGAGGGCCAGCCATGAGGAATAGAGAGCACAAGGCTCTAATATTAGAAACCACAAAGCTCTAAATTCAAACCCCAATACCAACACACACACACACACACACACACACACACAAAGAGAGCACAAGGCTCTAATATTAGAAACCACAAAGCTCTAAATTCAAACCCCAATACCAACACACACACACACACACAGAGAGAGAGGCAGTGAAGATAATGCTAGGCAGAGACAGATCGTGAATGAATGTTATATAGCCCAGAAAACTCAGAGATCTAACCTCAGGGTGATTGCGCAGGAAGTTCAGAGCTTCTTCAAAGTACTCAACATGCATGGTATCCATGCCCTTGGGGAGGTCGTCATAGTTGTAATAAGCCAGCGCCATCACAGCAAAACCCTTCCCAGCCAGCAGACTTGCTCGATACTCCAGGAGGCCTCCTCCAACTCCAAACAAGTCCACAATCCCTGGATAGGGCCCAGGTTCTTGGAAAAAAAAAAAAAAAAAGACAATGCAGAATAGTAAACAATTCCTGAAACTCTTGGCAGTGGTATCAAAAGCCATGAGGATGATCAGGTTTTCCACTGTTAAAAATGTTGAAAGAAGCCAGGTGTTAGTGGCTCACACCTGTAATCCTAGCTACTCAGGAGGCTGAGATCTGAGGATTGCAGTTCAAAGCCAGCCTGGGCAGGAAATTCCAGGAGACTCTTATCTCCAATAAACCACTCAGAAAACCAGAAGTCGCAGTGTGGCTCAAGTGGTAGAGTGCTAACCTTGAGCTGAAGAGCTGAGGGACAGCGCCCAGGCTGACTTCAAGCCCCACGACCAACAACAACAACAACAACAACAACAACAAAATATATATATATATAAATAATAAAAAAAAATGTTGAAAGACTAAGGTGGCTAAAACTAAATCCACATCTCCTGCACACTCAGAATCTCAAAACCCCAGAGTTTTAAAAAGAACACAGAGTGTTTTTTGTTATTAACACTTCATAGGCCACGGATACAGCTCACTGAGGAGCACATTTGCCTAGTATACATGCCTGATACTAGAAAAAAAAATAATGAATTTCACATGCAGCCTGCTAAGTGAATGGACACAGACTCCAAAGGCTACATTCATCCTGCATAAGTCTGGGTATGGGATATTTTCACATTAGAGAAAGTGTGTCTAACATTCCCAAGAACTCAGCAAGCACCTGAGAGGCATCACTGCATCTGGCCCCCTTTCTCCCTTCCCACCATCCTGGATTCTGTGTACTTCTCTTGGTTTTCTTTACAATATCACCCTTCTCAGTTGGCTTTTTGTGAACCTTATCTCAGTGAGGGAACTGTGGGTGTGGTGTCTGGGGGGGGGGTTGATTGCTTGAGACTCCTCTGTGTTGGTTCTTGCAGCTGTGGTCCAATCACTTTGACAGCTGGAAATCTGCCTCCATTCACTCATCAGGTCTGTTGGTGGTGCACATTTGGGCTGTTTGTAAAGCACTTGCCTCCTGATATACCATGGGTTGTGAATAGGTAGAATGACATATCATCTATCTAACGGAAAACTAACTGAATACCATACCTGAAAACTTCCACTCCTAGATGTATGGAGGAGTTTCTTTTCCTCCAGGTACTTGTCAACAATTGTGAGGACAGACTGATAATGCATTGTCACCCTGGAGGCTGTGTAATGAATGTGCTCTGTAGTTTTATTTGTCCTTTCCTTGATTACTAAAGAGTCATTGGCAGTTAAGTGTTGATCCAAGATTCTCAGCACGTTGCCAGTTGATAGAAAAGGCTCCCTCTTACTGTAACTGCTACTTCCCACCAACCTAAACCTAACTGTGGGCGTGGTAGAAAAGGTGTGACACTGAGAAGCAAGCAAGAATTTAGGAAAGGAAAGCTGCAACTACTTATGAAGGGTTTCATTCTCCTCTCCCCTCCTCATGGCCTTAAGTCCCATTCATTCAATTCCTTCTCCCCATTCCTGTCTTTTTACCACCCCTCGTTGCAAGTCACCTCTTTGCAGAGGACCCAGGGCACTAACACGTGAGCAGCAGCGAGGCCACAGGCACTCACCTGGCGGCAGGAAGAGGGTGGCCCGC